TTATAGTTTGGGATTTTGGCAAAATTTATATATATATATATACATATATATAACCTTTTCTGCCCAGGTTTTGAGATAAAATACCTATATATATATATATATAATATATTTATAACATAATCAGTGTGTGTGTGTGTTTGTGTTTCATTTTGTGTATACTATTTCCGAACACACAGCAATCAAGTTTTAATTTACATGCTCAATTTTTTTTTTATTAACAAAATTCCAACATATTTCTGAATGGTCTCTACCCACATGAAATCCCTGATGTTTCTGACTAGTAGCCAAAATCAATTTTTATTGACTATCTTTAAAAGATCATATTAATTTGCTGTATTCATTTCTGTATGAAAGATCACTAATTGTTTATTATAAATCTATTTACATTATTTGAATAAACTTGAAAGTTATAAAAGATATTTTTCCTGTTAAATAATATTACCATGACTGATTTACACTTAAAATAAGAAAAAGATGGAGAAATTTTTAAAAAAATGTCTTTTAATCAATAATTGAAAATTTGAGAATAACAGGTGCTCATATAGATAAAGGCATTATTTAAATTAATTTATAGACCCAAAGAAGGTGATTCAATCCATAACCTTAAAACACTTGTCAGAGGGAAAATTAGCAGGAAGTATTGAAATAAAGAGACATCCATCAAAAATGACAATTGGAAAAAACAGTCTTAGATTTGATCGAAATAAAGGGTTCAATTCGACAATTCCAATCACCTTGTCCACAGAATTGATCTACAAATTTAAACATTGTGACAAATATGAAAAAAAGATGAGGAAAATAAAGACTAATTTAAATTAAAAGAAAAAAAAAACCCTAATTTAAACTAGAATACATTCTAAATTTGGAAGAATTCCATGTAACTAACGTATGAATAAAAAACAAATTAATTTCATTTTTGCCTTTTTAACAGTTGGACGACAAAACAATATCAGGTAAATCTAAGATTTTTTTTTATTCAATTGTCCTTTTAACACTTCTGTCTTGCTATAATCCTTTATCTCAACAAAATAACTCAATAAGAAAATGTTAAATAGGTTAAAACTAAGCTATATTGTGTAGAGCCAATTCTCAATAATAACATAACTTTTAAAAAAATTCAAAGCATTTTGTTTGATATACCTGATTTCTAACATTTTACAATCCAATTTCCAATTAATATATAATAGTATTCTATTATCTACAAATTAGGTATAAAAACACAATGATGGATAAAAATTTTATTGCAGTCAACAACTTTCAAGTTACAGTCATCATAAAATGAATTTAACAATAACCAATTCAAATTCAACAGCACTCTTAAAATTTTGTATATTTTACTGGTATATATGATTATACACTGGTATAAATTGGAAAAAAAAAAAACAAAAAACAAAATAAATACAAGCTCAAAAAATAAAAAAAACCTGTGATTGCTATAAAAAAATTTTCATCTATAAAAATATTATGGATCACAAATTTAATTAATAAATCCATCTTACTAATTTTGGTTTGCAAACGGGAAATAAATTTCTCTCAAAATATTTTAATTCAGAAAAATAAATTATCAAAATATCAAATGCATTTCTAATATATTTTAACTTACAAATAATTACACCAAGAACTTGTTTTTTCTAGATATCCCCCATTGTTTATCATCACTTAGTGAGGCTGTAGCTCAAACAAGTTCAACTTCAGATGGTTTTTTTTTTACAATGGTCTCTGCAACCTTAAGTCTCTATATTCTGTATTTACTATTTCTGATTTTTTTGTTAAGATTATATTAATTAGACGTTTGTTTTTATTTTTTTTATTTTTGATTTTCTTTGGTTTATGGGTCTTTTTATATATCCTATAAATATATATCATAACATTTTCCACTGAGCAATTTTGGAAGAAAAAAAAAAAAAAAAAAAAAAAAAAAAAACTGCACTTGAGATTACGTATGGAATATGTATATTTTTTTTTTTTATTTCTTCTAATCACATTGGGCAACTATTGTTTTCCTTTAAATTCAGTTTACATTAATCATTCCCAATCAATCTGAGAGCTCCAACTACAACTGGAATTGTTAATGTCCTCATTACCACATTTTTGAGATTTTGATTTCAAGGTTATTGTATTTTATTAGTTTTTTGAAGATATTCAATATATATATTGCATATACGCAGGGACTGCCATGTTAATATGATTCTATATTTTGTAAGAGTTGTCTGAATCACAAAAACAGGATGATTAGCTTTGATTGTTATGTAATTGTATTGTATAATCCCATAAAATTGTTACAGGTCCTATCTCCTTCAAACAAAATTCTTGGTAGTGTTCATACCAATTTCTTTCCGTTTACTTTCAGGAAGTTGCAGATTTTCCAGTGCAGTTATTGGCCCACTCTGTCATGCCGGGTTTTATATTCAGTGTATAATACCACACAACCTGATAACAAGATGCTCAATTATTTCTGGATATTTATCACAGAATCTCCATTTTTGACTAACAATTTTTTTATTATGTGTGCTTGGTAATTTCTCATTAGCAAACATTGGTCCTGTGCAACAAGAATAAAACCTTCAGTTTTAGCTTTTAACCCTGCACTATGTAGCCACTGATGAGTATGGGGTTTGTCTACATCAGCTTCTTTGGTACAGGCAGAATATTGACCGTGAAGTGGTTTATCTTGCAATTGTTTCTGTATCTGGTTGGTTGCATTTACTTGTAAGTATTTTGAAGTTTCAATCACTGTATTATGCTTTACATGTATTTCTTCACCCACTTGAAACTCCATTTTGAACTTGTTGGCTTCTTTATTTTGAATAAATTTGCTTATGACTTTCATGTTCTTTGACAAATATCATCATCCAGTCTTCTGTAGTTTCTAGGCCAATTGTTGTAATTGTTGTAAGAAAATAGTTCTAGTTGAACTAATCCTCTGCCACCTTCGGATCTGGGCACATACAAACGATCAACATCAGCCTTGGGATGATGCATGCGTTAGCAAGTGAGAAATTTTCTTGTTTTGGTGTCCATTCACTTAATGTCAGCTATGGTCCAGTTAAGAATGTTGAAACTGTATTGCACAGAAGAACAACCAAGGTGTTTATAGCTGACATTCTGGTTTTTTTTTAATTCAGCTTGGTATTCAGTACCAGACACGCATGCTTATAGTATTCCTTTCTCACCTTCTCCTTCATTTGGGTGTGCTGTATTCCATCTCCTTCGCTAATTCCTAGGTGCCTATAGGCTTCTTCTTGTTCCACTTCCCTAATCTTTGTGCCAAAATCTCAATCTATTGAGTGTGTTTCTGAAATTCTCCCTTTCTTGAATGTTACTTTTGCACATTTATTTAATTCAAAATTTATTGTCACTGAAACATTTTACAGTATTGAGGAGATCCTTCAACTCATTGTTATCTTTAGCAAAGAGTTTGAATTCATCCATGTAGAGTAGGTGATTGAGTACTTTCTTGTTTAGTTTGTAACCATAGCTATTATTGTTTAGTTCATGTGTAAGGGGGATTAAGGACATACAAAACAGAAGGGGTGTTGTTATTATTAGTTGGTAGATTTAACTTGGAAATTCATGAATCTATCATGCCAACCATCACAGTCCTGCATCAAGGTTGGAAGGTCATTTGGGAGGCATTCTGTGTCATAACATACCTGGTCAATATAAGAGGTTGCTGGGTGACCAACTAGTCTTGCTCCATGGTAGGTTTCCAGAGCAGTAGATCACTTGCGAGCACTTGTTTTGCTTGCCTGCAGTGTCCTGCAAAATGCATTCTGTGTTCACGCAAGATTGTAGAAATATCAGGGATGGGTACATAGATCAATGATGTAGTTGGATGTTGTCTCCAGATGTTAAGTATAGCTCTCAGCATCTGAGTGTAGGTTCCATCAAGCTTAGACTCAAGAGTTTTAGTTAATGTCCAGGAAGTGGCACCATACATTAACACTGCCTTTGCAGTGGCTCAAAAGAATCTCCACTTGAGGTTGTCTGGTAGATCAGATTTCCAGATTACATCCATTTTATTCAAGGTGGACCAGGCTATGCAAATTTTCACATCTTTTTCAGTAGAATTTATCTCACTTCCTAGTTTACACAGTACTCCTACATCTAGAAAATGTTGTCAATGATGTTGGACTATGTCAGTGCCTCTAAAACCGAATTAATAAGCTTCAACCAGCAAAGCTCAATACAAACTGTCTCAGGTGAATCAATAAAATCTGTCAAATCTTTTGCCTATCTTGGAAGTGAGATAAATTTTGCTCTGCTGTTTGCTCCAGTGCATTTCCCAAGTTTTATTAATCCACCACACCTTTGATGACAATTTTAACACCACAGGTTGAGAAATGCTACAGTATAAGTTGAATGAATAGAATCAGAGTGTTGCGATAACAATAATAAAAATGCTTAATCTTAAAAAAAATCTATTCATTTTAGTAATATAATAGCTTTACTTACAGGTTACAGGAGTTATAAAAAAAAAATAAAAATAATTTACTATCAGTAAAGTTTTCTGGATATTAACCTGTAAGTAAAGCTATTATTTTACTAAAATTAATAGAATCTTTTTTAGTTGAAGTCACAGAGAGATATATAGAACATAAAAGTTTTAAAAGATCACCCAACTAAAATTACAATGGCTACAGTAACTCATTTTGAAGATAAATTCCACAAATTCCCTAATTGCTTAAATTCTGATAATGTTTCTATAAGGAGATATGACAAAAAATAGTCCTCAAATCCCTGTTTCCTGCATATTATCCTTATTTGTATTATTAATGCAGCTGATCTTTATAACCCACAAGTAATATTCCTATTTATGATTGCTTAACAAGAAAACAAAGCAACAATATTGAATTCACAACATCAACTCTAATCAAAAGTTACTATTTTTAAAAATCAACAGGTAAGAAATACTATCAGTTCACTTTTTCATTCCATATCAATTCAATTTCAATAAAATGCAGCTGCAATAAGAAAAGATAAAAAGAAATATTACTTACTTGGATGGCAGTTTTGACAATGACATTTGTAGCATAGCTAATTCCCCGGCTGCCAAGCCTAAGTACTGTTGAGTAGCCGGCATCTTTAGCATGCAATATGTATTCATCTATTTCCTAAAATTGAAGTTAAATAAGTTTAATTTTGATAAATTACAAAATATAAAATGAAATATTAAAAACACACCAAAATTTACAATAATTATATATTCACTATTTTAAATTATATATCAAAGTGCAACTCAAATGTTTGGGTAATTCAAATAGACCATTCAAATTATTTTGCTTTTGGGAAGGCATTTTTATTCATGCTACAAGTTTCTTGAGATTTTGAGTAGTAAAGAAGGGGTACTGAAAAGTTTTTAATCTGACCTACTTTCAAAAACCTGGCCAAAAAGCTCATAATTGATGTACAGAAAGCACTTAAAAATGTTAAGTGCAATAATAAACAGATTGGATATTTTTACTACTTTATAATTACAATATTTCTTGCAGCATTTTCTCTAAGCCAATCTTTCTAAAGCTTAGACAAATTTTATCTTTAAATGACAAAGATTCATGTAACAATGTATCACTTACACATTTACTATTATGCTGTAATTCAGTATAATTCAGTATAATTTCAATGAATATACATTGAAATATCATATATATATATATATATATATATATATATATATATATATATATATATACAATAAAATGACAATTGGGAAAAAAAATCTTAGATTTTGCTGATGCATTTCATCTTTTAACTTTTTGAGACAAAAATGAAATCTAAAATGTTATTGTTGTTTTACCAATCTGTCTTGTCCACAGAATTGATCTGGGAATTTAACTATATATATATATATATATATATATATATATATATATATATATATATATATATATTAAAATGGACAAGGTCCGACAATTTATTTATTAAAGACATTTTATTATGTTTAAAAATTTTATAGATACAAGTATTTAAGCAAATGCTCCGTTTATGATAAACAGTATTAAATAACATTTTCCATAAATGTCCGGAAATTTTCATAGAAAATATTATATGACAGGATTTGTTCCTATATATTCCGTCAGAAAAGGTCAAGATTGAAAATTCCAATTTTCCATGAATCTAAGTAATTCATAATATTGGCGTCATTTGTTTACTTAACAGTACGAATTCATGGAAAATTGGATTTATAAGCAGTAAATTTGATATGACTTCAGGTTCCTTATAGGATGCAGGTTCAATCCTGTTCCAAAGGATGCATATTCATATTTTCTATGAAAATTTTCTATGAAAATTTCTACAGGACATTCAGGCCTAAATGTTATTTAATACTGTTTATCATAAACAGAGCATTTGCTTAAATACTTGTATCTATAAAATAACAACGTTAAACATAATAAAATGTCTTTAATAAATATATATATATATATATATATATATATATATATATATATAACACAACAAAATCCCAAATTACCTCATATGGTGGGGGGGGATCTATTTCAACCAATGAAAACTATGTCAGTCTTATTCAACCCTGGTGTATAGCCTGTGTTCGTGTTGGAATTAGAAATTTAACTTGGACAGCCATTGAAAAATTGATACAGAATTTATCCATTTCAATGTTTCAGTCAGATGAAATGCCCGAGATAGTGGTTAGGGGAGGGTGGAAGGTATTAGCCTTAAAGGGAAGAGATTTTATAAAAATAAAACCTGGATATTAGCCTTATGACATGAAATTGGGGTTATATGAAGAATGAGGTGTTAATTTGAAACTAAAAGGGGGTTGATAAAGGGAGTTTTATAAAAAAAATTTTATATATAAAAAGTTAGGTTCCTACTTTAAATAATAAATTATGTATAATTATCTATAATTTATTATAGATAATTGTTATTATACCAACATATTTATTACCTGTATAATATATATATATATATATTAATTACATTATTTGAAAATAATTATAGAAAGCTATTTATTCATATTATAATCATATTTTGCACATCAATAAGTTATATAATTCAGTTAGCACAGAACTGATGTATAATTTCTGAACAATCAGTATTCAATTTTTGTTATTTTGAATTTCACTATTCAATTAGAAAAAACAATAAAAAATCTTTGCAATTTTCAATTGAATAAGTTATGGAAAAATTGTTTTACAAATTAAGAAATATTGGGTAATTTTTTAGGTTTTGTAACCTAAACAATATTATTAGAAAAATATTTTTGTTGTATTACAACATAAATATTCTGAAGTATAATTTAAAATCATCAACATTCAGATTTTGATGAAAGTGAGCTCAAGTAACAACTGTGAAACAAAACTACTGACTGTTTTTACACCAACAAATGAAGGCCTAAGATGAGGTTGATCTTAATTTTAGATGATAAATTTAGGTTGGAAAATAAAAATTATCTGAATTTGATCGCTGGAATGCAATAAACATAAAATCAAGTCTGTACCTTTTCTCTTTTTGTAAGCTGTGGATGAACAAATTTTCTATACAAAAAACTTGAACCCTTTGTAACGGGAGACAGCAACCATAGCACAAATACTATTTTTATTTCGTAGTAGAATGGGAGCCTGTAAAAGACAATTACATTTGTAACAATATTAAAAAAAGCCAGATAAAGGTGTGACAAAGAAAATGCATTTAGTATTAAAAAAAAAAAAATTGTTGGGTATTAATGTACAATGTTTTTCATTTTTAGAAATTGAATAAGCATTTACTTATGTAATTCAAAACCACAACTAAAATTGAGGAATTTACGATAAAGTGAGAATTAATTTTTTTTTTATCTCATCTGAAAGCTCAGACTCATCAGTATAGAGAAAAAAAAACAAAAAAAAAAAAACAAACAAAAACAAACAAAAAAAAACCAAAAAAAAAAAAAACCCACAAACATTGGGAAATCAAGACTTGGCCTAAACATCAGTTTTAGAAGATCATATTAATAACAGGAATATGATAATTTGTGGGAGGCTTGAAATCTATACTGTTAAGTGTTAAAAGATAGGCTTTATTTTTATGATGAACAGAAATTTAAGAGAAGGAATAACTGAAAATTGTAGATCATCCATATATCTGTGTGAAAGATGCTTCTTACAGCTGAAATGCTTTCATGTATAAATGAATTCTATTTCAAAAGAAAATCCTATGCTACAAGATAGATTGTATCAGAATAACTAATTGCTTATTGCAGTGTTGTACCTCAGCTTGTTCAAATCCTTTTATAATGAATTCTGTTGAGCATTTTATTACAAGTAATGGAGGTGACAGAAGACAAGTCCTTCTGTGTACTTTTAACTTTTTGTCTAGAACATGATCAAATGAATTCCAAGAGATCTAAAAAAGTTAGGGGGTACAGAAGCTGACCTTCAATAGGTTCATAATATATAGCTACTAAAGAAGTTATGTGTAAGAGTCTATCTCCCAAATTCAATATTAAGTAAAATTCCAATAACTAAAACAAATGTTATGAAAAAGAAAAAAAAAAAAAGAATGCTAGTCCTTGTAAAATATTTAAGTCTAAGTATTGTTATATATTGTTAGAATTTTATAACTGCATTGAGTTTTGTGGGAAATATTTGGTAGAGAAAAAAAAAATATAAAAAAACAAACTACAGTTACTAATAAATGTAAAATATTTTTAAATAGAAGAATTAATTTAGCTTTTTAAAGTCAATAACCATAAAGAAAATGGGAAAAAATAAGACCAAGAACAAGAGAGAAAAATATTTGAAGGTTACTCTGAGGAAAACAGAAATGAAAACCTAAGAGTGCTTATAAAGAAAAAAGAAAAAAAAAAAAAAACTACCTTAAGAGAAATTGATCTGAAATATAAGCATAATAACTATCCTTATTAAGAATCTAAATTTGTTTTGTTAGATAACTAATACAATTTAATTATCTTTGTTATCCAAATCTGAAAGTTACTGCTTTTATGCAATTACAAAATATGAAATTTAATATGAATGCAACCAAGACTTTTTTCACTGAAAAATTCAGATAATATTGTATTCTTAAATTATCATTTCTTGCAGTTTAATGCACTTTTCTTTTCAAAATTTATTTCTAAAAATCACCCTGTATATAAAACAAAGTTTTGCAGTAAGCCTATGGATTGAGGTGATTGGTACCCAAACATTTTGTCTATCTAAACACTCAGTACTTTTGTTATAAACAATAAAATTAGCTATTTGTGCCTTTATTAAAATCATATTGTTGCGGATGAGGAACAAACTGAAAGAAAATTGATAAAATTTTCTGCCCTTAATACTGCTGAGTTAATCACTGATGCCCATTATAACATTAAAAGGAAATTGTTATATAATTTATTTGCACACTAGTGGATAATCTAAATCACTGAACCCTGTAAGGAGAGAGAGAGAAAGAAAAAGAAACTATTTTTTTTTCTCAATATTTTCAATTTTTAGTCTTCAGGCTAATGATAATCCAAACTACATAATCAATATTTTTATCTATTATAAAATATACCAGTTATACTGACAACTCCACCCAACTGATAAATTTAATCAGTCATTTTGTTTTCATTCACTACTTGAGCTGGTTAAACTATTTGATGTTTATATTACTATTTACTATTATCAAGAAATATCAATTCATAGGTAATTTAAAATTTTTGCCTGGACTCATATCTGAAAAATTGTTTTCACCTCAAAGAAGATTAAGCTTGCAACAAAATATCACTGCTTAGATAAATTATTTTTAGATAAAGTCCATCTAGAAGTTAGCCATTAACAGGGAGATTTGAGGATTTGTCCAAGTTAACTCAGGAGATGGAAAGAAAGGAGAAAATTGTCTATATCAATGGCAAAATTTTAACATTCTGAAGAACCTTTAAAATAAAAATAGCTAATATATTTTTTCCATTTCTATGCACATGTCAACTCCATTGATGGAGCCTTATCATTTTTAAGAATATAATTAATATCAAAGAGTGATTTGGGCATGTTTAGACAGTAAATCAACAAAATTACTTCTAACAACAGTAGATTTACTCTAAAAAAAACAAAACAAAATGACTAGAAAGTACATGATTCAAAAAGAATCCTGCTAATAAAATCCTGCTAATCAGTGCTCAAATCACAAAATGTCAGTATTCTCTGTTTATTATGCTTTTGGCATCACCTCTAAGAGAATACAAACAGAGAGAAAAAAAAATACATTTTTTTTTTAAATATCAAGTCATTCCATTAGCAATATCTGAATTTAAGGTAGGTAAAAAAAAAAAAATCATGTTTATTAAAATTTATTCATGAATTGCATCATTCTCAAACAACTTCCTTTCAACATCCAACAAGTTTTATAATACCATTTTTGTGAAAGTCTATTGGACTCATTCTTAAAAAAAACATGAAGAGGTGGAAAAGAATGCAGAGAGGTTAGTTTCCACTTCTTCATGTTTTTTTTTTTTTTTAAGGAGTCCATCAACATGGTACTGCAAATTCCAGAATTGGTGGTAATTAGAATGATGAAGGTTTGGGATTATTTCGCATCTAAGATTTTCAACCTTTTCAGATGATAGCTTTACTGTAGAAAGCCATGATAGAACACCATATCAATTACTGGAAAGCAGTGTTTAAATTCTAACTGCTGATAATAACTAAAAGTGGATTACATTAACAATTCTATGAAACACTAAAACTTTCCATGGATGGGTTATGCTTTAGCCATTAAGCCATTGTCTCATCACTTTATATTCTTGTCAAATATCTATTTTTTCATCACCTGTCACCAACCTGTTTTCAAAATGATGAAATGCATTCACAAGAGAATCACCAAAATATTATTTAAATGATAGCTATTAGAATTCAGATATTACTAATAAAATGAGAGAAATTTATAGAAAAATGGAGGACATCAATTTGCTTCACAAAGGCCACACCAAAATTATTATCAAAATCACTGTGTTAATTACATTTTTTTGGTAGTTAAAGTCATTGAATTTTTAAAGTATTTTTTTGTTTTTTTGAATAAGAGATGTGATCCAGGTAGAGTGTATTTAAAAAAATCATTTGAGCTGCTTATTTTTACCAAGGTTTTTACAGATTCACTTATGAGTTTATTCCTTTCAGAATGAACATGTGAATGTTGGCATCAGGGCACAAAAGAAACAACTAGGATCAATAGAATCTGGTGATAAGGTATCTCACCAGTAACAGCCATTCTAAATATTCTAAAGCATTCATAACTGAATATTATAATGGCAGTATTCAGTCAATGTAAAGTTCACTTGAAGAAAAAGTATCCACGCAAATAATATGGTTTTGTCAATGTACACAGTATAAGAAGAATAAAGATGAACAATTCATTGGCATATCAAGAAAAATATTAAGACAAAAATAGGGAGAATATAGAATGTGAAATGTAGATAATCATATTGTAACAGATTAGTTTCAATGAACTATTTTACAATGAATATCTAAGTAGATATAAATCAAATGTTAAGAATAAAGTCAATAGCTAAACCATAAAACCTGAATTGTGTTATGTATATTCAAAATATAAAGTACATATTAAAGGGGGGATATAATAGATGTTGTAGTCATCAATATGATCAGAAAAAGCTATAGTGAATAATTTAGATATCTTGCAGAAAATCACAAAGCAAAAACTTTGAAGAGGTTAGTTATATAACTTTTTCTTTATAATTTGATGAGGAAAAAATAAAGAAAAAAGACTATATAGAAAAGAACATTAACAGATATATAAGTTTCCTGGGTTTACCAATTCCATGTATTGCTATAAAATTTATACAATATACAACAGGATAAAGTTTAAAGTGTTTCAAAGACCCATTAATTTGATCGTAATCATCAAATAGTGAATCAGATTATTAGTTTTCATAAATATCCAAAACATTTGTAGAAGAATCTAATATTCCACAAATTACAGTCCAGAGAAAGAGAGAAACAACCAAAATGATTATGCCATAGATTTCTTTTTTCAATTAAAAATATATAGCAAAGACAATCCTTAAGTTTTTAATTAAGCTGTACATAAAATAATTTTCTTTTCTTTTTTTTAAAATACCATGCTTGTTCAGGATGTAGGAAATCATGGCTCTCCAAATTCCTTTTATTTGTGAACTACCATGACATCTTAAGAAAGATAGTAGAGTGATTTCCTGTTGTCTTTTTCCACAACTTTGAATTCAGATGTCCTCCTAGATTGGCTGTCAGACAAGGCTAGAGACCTCAGTCTACCTTGCTATTCAACACATTAATTAGAAGCTGAAGAAATAGGTACATGCTTTAATCAAGGGCATCAGTGAAAAAGAATGCAGCAGACTAGTGGGAATTTGAACTTGGCTTACTGATTCCACTTTCTGTGTTGATAACACAGCAAAGCAAGTTTGGCTCTTTTCACATCCTAAAAGTGGATATAAGAAAATTAAAAAGTACTGTTTTATTTCTATTTATTATAAACTATATTAATGTATAAAAATAAGGTATTTTGTCATTATCTTGATTTTGTTTGTATAGATTTAATCAGTAATATATTTGCACTGATAGGATGTTTCAGGATCCACAATTATAACTATTAAGTATATGAAAGT